TATATTTATTGCATTCATTAATATGTTAATGTATGACAGTTGCTCCTTTTTCTTCTTTCCTTCTTCTGCTACATAACAACTTCCTACCTCTTTTGTATGCTTTTTGTGGCTCTCCATTGCATTCTGAGAAATTCAAAGCAGACAACTTTGCATTACTAAGCACAGCCCAAGCTCAAATATTCATTCCAAAATGCAGTGTATTTTGCCTAGGTATTTCCTACCAAAAAAGCCAATACTTCAGCAGCATGGCAGTCTACTATGTTGAGAAATATGAGATGTGATACAGAAATTATAATGTATCAGGAATATGAGTGGCACAGAGTAAGTAAGTGGTAGATTTTCATCTTGAAATTCCTGAGTTATTTCAAAACTGTTTATTTTTATTGAACTTGACTGTTGACTGTGAATGAGAAAGAGAGTTTTGAGCACAAAGCCTACTAGCTGTTGCTCTGCATAATTTGGCAGAACACAGCTTCTGCAAATCAGGCACGTGGGTAGGTGGAAATTTTCTGATTAATAATGTCACAGACTTTATGCACCCTAGCTACTTGTAGAGGGTGCACTTTTTACTTGTGGATCAGCAGCACCTTCTTTGGCATAAGAATTGTTTTCCAAGGTGCAAATGCAAAAACGTTCCTGTATCAGACTACCCATTTGCTGTCCAATTTATACTGGATATTTAAATAATATTGAAATAGCTTTATAATAGTATCACTCACATACTGGTAGAGTGAGACAAAACAAAGAAGGTCACATCTGTGATTATTGAGGACTGTTTCTTTACATTAGCCCTTATTCTGAAAAGAAGAAGCATAAGGAGGCGGTTGGGACACTTGAACAGCCTTGATTTTAAGGCCATCTCTCAGTTACTCTTTCTTTTTTGTCTCAATGAAGTGCTTTTCATTATTCTCAGAGGTACACCATATTGTTTTCATTATAACTCAGAGCAGATGTTGAATACCTTTACCAGACTAGTTGTGGAACATTGTTCTCCCAGTATAAAACATTGCTCTTCTAAATAGCTGTTTCATTGTCACATCTTAAGGTGTTATACAGAAAGGAATTTGGTTTTATGATCTGGTTGCCCCTGCAAAGCCTTCCACAGCTGGAGGGGGAGCTAACTTGGTAGCTTAGTGAGTGGACAGGTAATGTGCAAAATGTTTGCAAAAGAGACTGTAAGACAGACTTACTGTTCTCTTCCTTGCATTAAAAACATGGAAATTCCTAAAGTCTTCAGCATTGCAAATCTTTCTAGGTGCTATGCATTAATTTCAGAGAATCTTCAACTATAAACAAAATGAGTGTCAGGTAAGGGACATATGTTCGTATATGCAGAAACTTGATTTAAGGGATAGATGGAATACAATGTATACTTGACAAGAGTTATCCTTCTTCTGACTGTTACTGTTTCCACTTTTCAGACTTGAATCTTGTAACTTGAACATAGATCCTGAATTGAATTGTAAAGAAACCAACCTTAATTGAAACCAAAGATTCATAAGCAACTTTTTTTATTGGAAATCTGTAATAAAGGGCCGCACAGTATTTGTATTACACATAATTGTTAAGGAAAGTATCTCTTTTAAATAACACTTAAAATCCTGTGTTCTTCTGAACAGTGATGATTTCTTTTCAGGAGGATTTTGAATTGAATTCTCCTTTAAACTCAGACTGTTTTCTTGGTGATAGAAAAAACTGTCCTAGAAAGAGATTGTTGTTTCCTAATAGGTTTGGGAAATTGATATTTCAATCCAGCATCCTCTTTGAAAGATAAATGTTGATTTCCCAAGAAATGTGCAGCGCAAAGGTTCATGCTGTCCTCTGACAGTACTCCTTTTGTGATTCTGTATTGAAGGGGAATCTTTAGCATTCAGGAACAGCTAACCTAACCTAAAGAGCAGATGCTTTTGGGATTCCCTCTCTTAATTATTATCTGATCCAAGTACCAAAAACCCCATATTTTTTTCCATGTATATAAAAAGTCTTACTGCCCTGTGGGAACTAAAAGTATGGCTTAGAGATTAGAGCACTGGGTAAATATGAAAATTATATATCCATTGGTAATTGAAAAGACAATAGAAGAAAGAGCAACAGTTTTAAAGGCCTTTTCACTAAGTTTTAGAACTTGTGATTCTCCAGAATAAATGGACTTTCATTCAGGCTTAGTCACTGTTGTCCAAAAAGCAGGTAAGAAACCAGACAGGTTAGTACAATGAAGTTTCCTTTCAAGTTTCTGTTGATTTCTTTAGCAGTGTACTAGAGAGTCAGGCAAACCCAAATGAATTTTCAGTAATTCTTCCACTCCCATCGGGGTCTTTGGACTGAGACTCTTGATGAGAAATGCTTGTCAGTTCCCAGTCCACACCAATGTTACTGGTACATCAGGTTTACAGTGGTGCTGTGTTCCCTGTCTCTCAGTAGCAAACCTAATTCCTGTGTTTTGGTGATAGGGGACTATTGTTCTTGCCTGATCTGCTGCAGTTTGTTTTGTAGCTCTTGCTGTGCAGTATGTAAAGCACCATGTACACCGTGCTTCCACTTCTTCTCCTTGCACAGTCAAAAAGGAAACTCTCAGTTCTACTGTCTTTTCCAATTCACTGTTCCTTCTGTTCCAAGTAAAAGAGGAAAATTCTTCAGTATACATACTGCACAGAAAATACTGTTGAAAACGTTTTGTTTTTCTACAACTTCTCAGTGTGATCACAGATGGGGTATGGTAGATTATTTTGATATTGTGTCACCACTGTAACTGTAGCCTGGGTGTTTTGTGTGTTAGAAGAAAAGATTCCTCCATGACTGTGCAGGGAATTTGCACTAGCTGGAGTAGAGGATGGAATGAGGAAAGATTAGGAAACAACAAAGCCAACTTTTTAGCCTGTCTTTTTTAGCATGGAAGGTTGATAATTTTTATTCTGTGTCCCACAGTTGTATTTAGGCCCTAGTTCAGCTGTGCTGTAAATGCTAAGCTTTCAGCTACGTACTAACACCTACTATAAAACACTACAAGAGTCTGTAAGTTTGTTTTTGTTTTTGCTTCTTTAAGCACTTGAATAGTCACATAACTTTTGAAGTGGAAGATGAATGCTATGGAGGTTGAAAAAATTCACAACAAAAATTACTTTAATTTCCTGGTGCAAGCATACTGAAAATAGTATTGAACATACTGATTAGATATACATATACATATACATATACAGCTAGGGAGAAACCTACTTTGTTTGCTAGGCATGAACTATGCATTCCAGGCCAAGTGACCTGAGACACCATCAGAATGATAGAGTCATGTTTTTAAAGTAAAGTCTCATCCTGTGTTTCTGCTACACTTTGTTTTCTGTGGCTCAGAGTTACAGCAGCATTTCAAAGTAATTTCTGTAGATTGCTTCCTTAGAGGGGAAGAGTGAAGAGCAACTGGGATTTTTTCAGTCTTAGACTCTCTTTTATATCACTTGGTAGTATTTATTCTTCTTCTATGATAACAACTGTGGTAGTATAAAAATGTTACATGAAAAGAGAGGAAGGTGAGGAAGGAAGGATTTCTAGCTACTTAACTGTGGGGATGATTAGGAAGGTGCCAGCATTACTGGAAAGCATTGATGACAAGTTTCTGACACAAGTAGTGGAGGATCCATTGAGCCGTGGTGTGCTCCTCAGCCTTATACTAACAAACAGGTAATGAATGCCTTGTTGAAGATGTGAAAGTTGAGGGTAGCTTTGGATGTAATGACTGTTGTGGAATTTAGTAGTGGGCAATGAGGAAACAGGACAGCAAGCCTGTAATCATGGACTTCAGGCTTCAGGAGATCTAACTTCAACCTTGAAAGGTCTTCTTGAAAGAATCCTGTAGGAACAGATTCTGCAGTGATGAGGGTTCCAAGGGAGTTGGTTGATATTCAAGGATCACTTCCTCCAGACTCAAGAATGATGCATCCTGATGGGTGAGGAATCAGGCAAAGGGGGAAGAGGTCTATGTGGATGAGTTAAGAACTCCTGTCATTACTTAAGTGTGTCTAGGAAATACACAGGAGATGGAAGCAGGATCAGGCCAATTGGAATGATTATACAGAGGTTGTCAGAGTAAGGAGAAATGAGACAAGAAAGTTAGACAAAGACAAGGGCTGGATTCTGCACCTGGAGTGGGACAACCCTGGGTGTACAGGCTGGGGAATAAGATGCTGGAAAGCTGTGTCGTGGAAAGAGACCTGGGGATCCTGGTCAATGGCAAGTTGAACATAGGTCAGCACCGCCCTGACAGCCAGGAGGGCCAGCCCTGTCCTGGGGACATCAGGCACAGCATCACCAGCTGTGCAAGGGAGGGGATTGTCCTGCTCTGCTCTGCACTGGAGCAGCCTCACCTCCAGTGCTGGGGGCAGGTTTGAGTGCCATAATATAAAAATGATAAAGCTATTGGAAAGTGTCCCAAAAAGGGCTACAAAGATGGTGAATGGCCTTGAGGGGGAGCTGTATGAGGAGCAGCTGAGGTCACTTGCTCTGTTCAGCCTGGAGGTGACTGAAGTGAGACGTCACTGTAGCCTTCGACTTCCTCACAAGAGGAAGTGAAGGGATAGGTACCAATCTCTTCCCTCTTGTGACCAGTGACAGAATTCAAGGGAATGGCATGAAGCTGAGCCAAGGGAGGTTTAGATTGGATATTAGGAGAAGGCTCTTCACCCAGAGGGTAGTTGGGCACTGGAACAGGCTCCCCAGGGCAGTGATCACAGCACCATGACAGAGTTCAAGAAGTGTTTGGACAAGGTTCTCAGGCACACGTTTTGATTCCTGGAGGTGTCCTGTGCATTACCAGGAGTTGGACTTCAGTGATATCTGGGAGTCCCTTCCAACTCAGCATATTTTATGATTCTGTGAATTCTAAATCTTCTGCTGTTTGTCTAGGATTTTTTTTTTAAATTTAAATGTGCTGAGCATCAAAAAACGTAGAACTAGTAAATACTGAATGGAACTAAACCCAGCCTTAACTGACGGTATGTGTGTTCTCTTAATAGAATCTGGTTCTGCAATTACGGCTTCCTGCATTGGTTTGGGGAACTCTACAACACCTCCACCTGGACAGGCAGGAAAACCAGTGCCAGGATATAATGGTAAGACTGTGCTAAAAATGTTACTAAGAAAGGACATTGCTTATATTCCTGAGTAAGTGCTCCTTAATTGTCATATTCCTGAGTAAGTGATCCTGTCATATCTTGTAGTAAAGGAAAATTACAGTCTTATTAAGATATTTTCCTACTCCCTGCTTTCTTGTGTGTTGTAGAATGTGATTCTGAATAAAAAATTCAGAGTCATCTTCAAGAAAATTGATCAACTAGTTCTGCCTTTATTATATGAAAAGGCTAGCATATACTTTGGCACATTGCTCATCTATACTTCTATATGCATTTCTGCACTTCTGCACAACTTGAGAGAGTTGTTAAGCAAACTGTCTTTCAGTACCTGTGCAGCATTTTTATTTCCAGCCAGGAGAAATGGTAGGCTATGGACCAGCACAAAAAGGATGAGAACTCATTGTCTGGAAGGTATTTGCATGTAGGGGTGCAGCTACAGGACTGAGAATGCATTTTAGTACCTGGGAACCCTGATTTGAACACAATTTTAAAGAGTTTCTTGAAATCTGAAAAATAGTTACATAAAGATCAAGTGGTTCAGAAAAAGTTCTCACATCATTGGTCAGAAAGATCTAAGCTGTTATTTTCTTTTAATACATGAAAATGGTGATGAATATTAAAAAAAAACTCCAATATTTTTAACACTCTTGGTTTCTGCACTTACAGTTATGGTGTGAAGATGAGCAATAGCTTAAAAACAAAGCCATAAAGTTTCTCCAGAGTTCTAGTAACTAGGTAAGGGTGAAAGAATGTAATTGCATCACACATGTTATCAGATGATAGTCTGGACTAGGAAGAAATATACGTAACAAAAATACAAAAATTTCTGGTGAATATTTTGGAATATTGGGACTAGTGTAAGTAAAAATTTTCTTCAAAGAGAATGATGGAAATGTCTTTAACATACCATATAAAGGAAACAAAAAATGAGCACTGAAATTCACTAAAGATTTACAGAATAATTTTACTTCTTTCAGTCTTTGACCAAATATGTCCTGTAATGCAGCTATTCATAAACTAGTGATTTTTAAAAATTACTCTATTTTGGCTGCTGTCATGCTGTCATCCACTTCTCTTTGGTGTTGTTTTTCTGCTGTTACTACATTTAATTAGAGAAGATCCTTATGCCAGTTAGAAGTGGTTTTAGTTTATACATGCAACTCTAAATGGCTGGTAAAGACATGCTGCAATATAAAGGAAGTTGCAAGATCTATTTTTTTTTTTTTAACATGTAAAAATTCTTTCCTGTTACATATTGCTAAAAAGAAACTGATTTGTTGATGATTTTTAGGGACAAAAGGAATAAAAGTTATGATATCAAAGTGTAGGGGCACAAATTGCATTTAAAAGTGAGTCAAGATAAAATATTAAATTCTGTTGCCTTTAATCAGACATTATACTGTGCTTTTCCCTTGATCTGCTTGAACCTTTGCAGGTAATTGCAGTGCATTTTCATGCACTGCATTTTCATGTGCATTTTCATGCACATGAAGCAGGTCCCACATTTTGAAGAAACAAGTCAGTTCTTCAGTAATTCAGGAGTGAGCAGCATAGTATGTCACTTCCCCAAGTTTTTCTACATTGAAGTACGTAGCTTGCAAGGATATATACTGGGATTTGTACCTTGATGAAACAGTTACAGTAAACTGATTAGATTTTACTTAGTATCATAAAAATAGGAGAGAAAACACTGACAGCTACACAAGTGGTCTGTGTAAAACTGACCTTGTGTACTTGTCTGTGTCTGTGTGTGGAGCCATTGCTTCCAGCAGGCTCTTCAGTGACTTTAAAATTACCATCATCTTCGTAGGAATAGCTTCAGCCAGAAGGAATAAATTACAGATGTTGGTGCTCTTTGGAGAGATAGGATATGATATTACTCATATAGGTTGTAGCAGAGTTTTTGTTAGAAGTCTGTCGTCCACTTTTGCCCATTTCCTCTGGAATTTTGTAGTCCAGAATGTAAGATTATTTGTAGATATTTAGATACAGCTGAACATTGCTTTCATTTCTTGGGCAGGCTTCAAAAGACATGTAATTCTTATCAGTCCAGTCTGTCAGAATCTTCCCTCCCTGTTTTTCTATGGTTTAGTTGCTTCACCTTATGTAATTTCATTATCATAGGCCAAGGTGGTATCTGTCATTCCTTTCTTATGCCCACACCTTGAGATGGAATGGATGGTTTTAGTAGCTTCATTTCCCAGATAACTGCACAAAAGAGGCCATTTCAGATGATTTCCTCAGAAATCTCACTATCAGGATATGGATGCTTTCACTGAAGCCCTGCCATCCAGGGGAAAAGGCTTCATTTGGCAAGCCTGGATTCTATCCTGTACTTTGAGCATTACCCTGCTGTGCAGCTTTGGGTACTTCAAGAATTACTTGATCTCTTTATGCTAGACTACAGTGAACCTTGTTAGCTGTGAACCTAGTTAGCAGTGAACCTAGCCCTAGCTGAAGGGCATTTTTCTGAGATTCCTGAGAGCCTTTGAAAACCAGATGTACTTATTTACTGCTAATAGTATTTCTCACGTGAACTGGGTTAGGCTTCAGTCATCTTGGTTGTTATGTCTTGCTCATGTCATGTATTTTTAATTTATATTTGTCACATATCTTAATGGTTCTTTGCTGTGTAGAAGTTCAGATTTTCCAGTATGAAAGCTTCTTTTACTTTTTAGTTCTGTTTTTCCCTTTGGGGACTTTGTGCTATTTCTGCTTCCAAAGCACAAGTATTATTTAAGAGTTTTTGTACTTAAGGCCGAATGTTAATAAAGTCATAAGATTATCCAGTTTGGCACTCCCAAATTACTTAATTCCTTCTGTTGCTTGGTGTACTGCCATTCTGAAGTGTGACATAGGTTGATATCCATAAAGAAAGACATTTACCTTCACCTAAAAATACACTACTAAACTTGAGTTTCCTTCCTATATTATTTTTTTACAGTCATGATTCTGGATGAAAATAAGAAACCAGTGAAGGCAAAGACTTTGGGAAATATTGTGGTAAAGTAAGAAAAATAAATATCATACAGTTAAAAGAAACTTCATACATGGGTTGATTATCTTTTGACTAAAGTTTATATAAAAATAAGAATAATTGAAGTAATGAGGATTGAAAAGTGTGTCTGTCTCTGATACTGATACCAAACTTCCTGAATGTTTTATGTTCATTAATGCTGAAAAATTGCAGACAAAGTTGTGTGAATGAATGAGTTTTTCTTAGACTACAGCAAAGTTTACCATTTTCTTAATTATCAGTGTTGGCACAGAATGATGCCTTTCTCTTATGATGTATGAGCAAGATCCTGAATCATTCCCTTCACTATTTTATTTTTCCATTTAGTGAAATAGTACAGCAGTACAGATTGGCATGCTTCACCTTACAGGTGTGATGCTGCCTCTTCTTTCATGATCTCCTAATCCCAGCTGATGCACCTTCTTAGAGGGAGAACATGTATTTTCTGTTCTCTGTAAAGAAAAAACACAAGATGTTCCTGCGTGTGCTTTGCATGAAAGAGCGCTCATTTGGACCAGTACTTGCAGGAAAGGAAAATACATGCAGGAAAGGACTTCAGGAAAAAAATAAAAAAACCCTGCTGTGCATCATGTGGGTGATTTTCAGTACCATTTACCAGACTTCTGACAGATGAGTTCCATAAACTCTAATAGTCTTTTTGAAAGTACACCTTTCTAAGGCACATTTCCTTAGATAAAAAGGACTCTGTTTAGATCACCCTGTGAACATCACTTACATTTATCTTGCCTGCTGCCTTCTCACTGTTGCCAGGATCTTTCCTTACTCCCACAGTATTCTATGGGCTAATGCTCTTTGCAGCCCATGCCACCTCTGTATTCTGATGTTTTACAGGCTTTCAGACTAATGGCATTTTCCTCAAACATTTTTTTTCCTCAGAGAGAGACACCTGCTTTGTGATGAATGTGGTATCTGCGCCCACCTTTTTTTTCAGTCACAGAAAATAACTTCAACTCTGAACACTTTCTAACTGTGATATAATACAAGTCCCAAAGGAAATGTATTCATCCATTTCTTCTGTGGCAGATTTTTGGAGAGTTGTGGTAGCTCAGTCTTCACTGCTTGCTTAGACAAATGAATGGAAATGCAAAGATTAGTATTAACCTTCAGTGAACTGAAAACCGGTCAAAAGCTGAAGCACTGGGATGGATGTACCAATTTTGTTGAATTGTTAGCACAGTTGTCTGAGGTTGCAGTTGGCTGAGGCACACGAGCTGGGGTGAGAGACAGGAGCTGCAGGCGCTGGAGCTGCAGACGTGCAGTGCCAGCAGTGTGGGTGGGCTGGCGCAGTGCTCGCGTGGGAGGTGGAGCCGCTGAGGTGGGGAGGCTTTTTACTCAGCTGTACCACTGGCCTTATGTAACTAGAGCCCTGTGGAGACTGAAGTAGTATCACATGGACTCATTGCACTGTCTGATGCAGATGCGTGTGTTCAGGATGAAGTCTTGTCTTTACCCTGCCTCATTCTCAGCATCTTCAGCTAAGCCAGCAGGACACAGAGGCCTCCGTTTAGCTCCCCCGAGTCAGCAGACTCATATTTAGGCGTAGTTTTCTTGAGACACGTGTAAGATTGTGCATTCACTCCATTGTTGAGTATGTACATTCTTACCAAGCACAACTATTTAAAATTGCTCCAACCTTTTGTAGACTTTGGTTTGCAGTATCAGTAACCCAGCTTAGGGTGGAAAACTGTTTTTCAAAGCTCTCACCTCTGCAGTGCCTGAAGCCATAATAAAACACAGGATTGTAATCAGTGGAGAGAGAAAGGTATTTTGTAAGCTAACTGCTTAGATATTCAGATTATTGTTATTCATTATATTATTCATGCCTAGTTATTCAACTAGGATGGAATAAATCACCTTTATTCTTTATTATATATAAGTAGTTACTTAGTCTTATCTACCAAAAGAGGAGTGGAATGAACTCCATGTTTAGCAACTCTGCCAAACAAGCTGAAAGACAGACTTCCCTAATGTTGCTCCACATTTAGATGTTTACTCAAGGGATTACAAATGTGTTAATATATTGATTTGCTGTTGTTTCATTTGGTTTTTTTTATCTTGCTTAGCATGACTTCTGCTGCAACCAAATGAATTAATAATGAAAAGAGGGATTTTTTGTTTTGTTGGTTTTTCTTCAGTGTATCACACAAGAAAGTGTAATCCCACAGGGATATTATTATTCTATCATGTCTGTTTTTATTGTATTGTTCATTTTATTTTTTTGATTAAAGCAAGGTTTCATGAAGTCCCTCCTTCAAAGGAGGCATTTCTCTCTTCAGCAGTCTTCTACATGTACAGACCCTTTAAATTAGTGGAGATGATCCTTGTTGCTAGCAGTGTTGTTTGTCAGCCCATAGCATGTCCCCCTGCAGCTGGAGGAAAATGGGGGACTCAGGATAGTTCTGACTATTATTGTGTCATACAACCTATTAAAATATGAAAAAACACAGGTATTTACTTCACCTGTAGCATAGGTGATTTGAGAAATATACTTCAGTATTTCTTGGAGAGGAGAGTGGCCATGCACTACTTACAATGACAGCTGTGCAGAAGTTGTAAACTGCAGCTTTTGGTTGTTTTTATCCCAGACTAATGCCTGGTAAAGACTATTTGGGACTGCTTGAGGCCTGCAGTTTTCCTAAGTACAGTATTTAAAATATCTATTCTTACAGCCTGTAATTAATGCACTTAATGCACTTGAAAATACACTTGTATATGTAGCTGCTAGTGTAACTGCAGGCTATATGATCCCTTGTTATTCAGTAGGGAAACTGAAGAGGAGCCAACATTACTGTCTGTGGATGTGATGTTAGTACGTCCATTGCTGCATTATGCTCGGTTCTCATGACTGTATTTCAAGACTATTGAGAGAGTGACTGCATTTTGAGGAAAATATGAATGAGAGTGACCTGAGGGCTAGAATCTGCATGGTATGAAAAGCTGTTTGTATGTAATTCACCCAAGATCATTAGAATAGTAACCTTTTAAGGGCCAGGAGTAAAAAAAATCCCTGAGAGATGGCTGTTTAATCTAGCATAAATAAATTGGAAGCTGAAGCTAGATGCATTCAGATGACAAATAAAGCACTGTTTTAGCAGTGAAAGTATTAAGACGTTGGAGTAAATTCTTGGGAGTATGGTGGTTTACTTTGATGTTTTTAGGCCTAACCTAGATACCTATTTTAACCAAAAGTTGTGGGATTGAGGCAGGATTTCGTAGATGGCATCTTTCAGCATGTGTTATATGGAAGGTCAATTTAAATACCTGTGCAAAAGATCTCTCTTCCTAACATCCTTCTATATGTTGGTCAGCTTTGACTTTTCCCTTTACAGAAAGAACAATAAGTAGGTCTTCCAATGGGAGAGCAGTTTGTCCAAAGATAGTTTTTCTAGCAGATCTCTGGCTGAGTACATGTAAATACCATTTGAACTTTCTTTACTTTGAAATTTTTCCAAGCACTTTCACTAGTTTTTGATGACTTTTTCTCTTTTCCCACTCAAGCAAAATCCACACTGAGATCAACTACTTTTGTAACTCCTTTCAGCTAACTAAAATAATATTTCATGCAGACTGATGAATGTTCAAGATCCTGTACTCTTCACCCTTTTTTCTGCATTGTTGTTCCTAGAGTTTGAAAAAGCTTCCAGATGCTTTTCAAATTTGCAATCAAAAATTTTTATGAGTGATGTTTATGCACAACCCTATGTAAATGCTGAGTAATAATTATAGCTGCCAGTTGAGATTATTTTGTTCTATTCAGAAGCCCAAACTCATTTAACAGTGGCTTGTATTTACTTTGACTGGCTGTAATGAATAGCCTCTGAGTATCATTGCCTACCGTAAAACAAAAGAATGTCTTTTCTGAACTACATGTCCAATAATTTATTATTTCATTTCAGAAATCTGCTTGTCTATGCAAATTCTCTTTTGAGTTCTCTAATTGCTTGGTTACGTTTACAGGGAATCTTACACCATTTTGATGAGTGGCATTTGTAAGGATGTGCTACGTGGGAGTCAGATTTCTTGGGCTAAGCTAAAGGTGGACTGTTCTTTGGAAGGTCTACCACTGTTGTATAAAAAAATAAATGACCTGTGAAACAATGCTTAAAAACACAAATAATAATTGTCATTTAAAATACTTCAGAGTTTTTTTGTGATGCTGTCAGGCTCATTCATCTTAGTCTCTCCAATTTATAATGAAATTACCTGCTTATCTTTGTAAAATGTAACCAGAATGAATCTTTGTTAAATGAACCCATATGATGTAAATCATTAATTTACGTAGCTTGCCTCATTTCTCTGATGCTGTTTTGAATGTATTCAACCTTTAAATGAGAAATAGGCCTGGATTTGTATTCTTGTAATTCAACAATTTTAATTTTTCTTTGACTGGAGTAAATGTTGAATAGCATAATTTGTACTGCTGTTACAGTGCTGGTAACAGACAGCTACAGAAATACAGTAAATATGTCCCAAGGGGAAACCAAGCAAAGCAAACTTCTTTGTATATTGTGAAAATGATAATGAACTAACCTACCTACTCCTGTCTTGGCCTTCTGTGATCCTGTCCCTTGTGAAAGGAAAGCAGTCATGCTTACATATGCATTCCTGGCATTTTTGGTAAATATATCTCTTTGTAAAAATATTGCCAAAAGATCTTGCGTATCAACTCAGTTTTTAGACAAAGAGGCAACAGTTCTTAAATGCTGAGTTATTGTGGGTGTGTGTTACATTTTCTCGGGCAAAAAAAGACCCAAATCAAACATCTCAAAATGTTCCTTTTATAGAGGGGTTGATAAAAACAAGAGATATCTGTTTTCAGGTTGCTCTTATTTTTGGACAGTCTCATTTTCTCTCTTCTGGCTCCTTGCATGTAATTATGATCCAGTTCTGCTCTCTTTGGAATTTTTGGCAGCATTCCCACTGACAGCAGGGGTTTTGAGGTACATTTGGCTCTGGACATTTTAATTCTGATGTCCTGACAAAATTTCAATATGCATAATGATGTTCTGGCAAGCTGAATTATTCTACCTTTATTAATTTGAGTTTGCACAGAACCTAGAATTCTACTAAATCATGATGCCAAGAACTCTGCTCTCATCAAAGAATTATTTGTGGCTATTGCTCTGGAATTATTGTGCTGAAAGACTGACACATGGAAGAGGGCATTCACTTTTTGCTTAGTGGATGAATGGGGTCTTAATTTCAAGTAATCTTTCACAGAAAGCCATGGAAGATTTTCAGATATCTGTATTCTGTTACGATGTGGTTTACAGAGATAACCTGTGGTAGCCACTAATTCAGCAGTCTGGCTTCCACAGACACAGAAAAAATATACTCTGTGGATATGTTTATCAATACAACTTTCCTAAAAAAACCCCAACAAACAAGCAAAAAACCCCCACCAAACTGGAACATGAGACACCCCCAGTCTCCCCATTTGAAAAAAAAAAATCCAAAAAAGGACAAGGAAAACAAATAGTGAAAGTGAGGCTTTTATTTTTGGTGATATGTTCCACACTTCTCTGTTTAGATTTTTAAACAATGACAGAAAAGAAAATGCTTTTCTAATTTCAGCAATAAAACTGGTTTTTTATATTCAGTGACTAACTGCAAAGTATTGAATAGAGCTGTGGGGAAATTAAGGCGTTTGTCAATATGAATTGTTCTTTCTCTCCCATCACAAAGATGTTAGACTGCTAAATAAATTTAAAGTGCGAAATTTGCAATGACTGACGCTTTTATGAATTGCTGTACTATTAGCAACCAGGTAGCAACCATAGTAACTGCCACTCTCTGGTGACTTTTCTTGAATCTAAACAAGAGATTTTTTTCTTCCCTTTTAAATGCATGCATACACAAACACCAGGATCAATAAATTGTTTTTCTAATCTTTTTTTCCAAGGCAAGCTCTCCATGGGTCATGTTTTTATATCACAGAGATGCTTACTAAGCTTGAAACGCTTAAAATAGGGCAGTGAATTTCTTCCAGATGGGCAGAAGCCAGCCTGCCCTCCTGAGCCCTGGGTAGGTGGGAAGTGTCTTGGCATTTCTGGCCATACCTTCCCAGTACTTTCAAGGAATGTGATGTATGGGATGTGTTGAGCCAGAACCCTCAGAGAAAAAGCAGTAGTATTTATAGTAGTATATTCTGTTATGCTAGCTGACCTGAATTAAGCTGAAAAAACTAGGATTGTAGAAAATCGGGCATTCAAATCATTGCTGGATGATATGACCTTTTCAATGTAGTTTGTACTGGGTTTACTGTAGCTAAGATTTTTTTGAAGTGTGTTTCTCTCTCTCTCTCTCTCTCTCTCTATATATATATATATATATAAAACTATAACTATTCTTTTTGTAAATGTAATGTTAGAAAAGTACATGTCCCAGGGCTGGTGGCACCTGTTCTTGTGATTGACCATCGTAGACATGTACTGACACCAGAATTGCTATGCTACCGAGAACTGTTTCTTTGCTAGAAATGTTGCCTTCTGGTGTCACAGGGATACTATCACAGAAAATAAAATACCTCTGGCTAAATACTTGCTAGTTAGCAAGACAGGCATGTGCTAGCAAAATCTGTATGGTGCATTTATGATTTTATGTAAATAAATATGTTTGTATACATGATCTCTGTTATTAGGGGTAAGCTTCATAAAACTTGTGTTGATATGCCTGAATATATATCTCTCAGGCAGTTAAAGAAATCTGTGTTTGACCCTGTCAGAGCTTCGAAGAAAGAAACTAGCACTTTTTTAGCTGAGGCTTCTGCAGCTTCTCTGCTGACACATACGTATGTGAAGTGTCTCATATTTTCTCGTGCCCATATAATTGACTGAAGAAGGGTTTTAGTATGTATTCAAAACTCAAATAATAAAGCAATCCAGAATTTTGCAGCTTTAAGTACAATTATTTTAGAAAGTTCTATTAGTGACTTGTATCATATACTTTCACAGAACTTCTCCAGTATTTCCAATAGTATTATGCACAGTTTAATCGGAAAAGCATTTTAATTCAGATTCTTGTGATTGAAGTGCTTTGAGTTTTATCTTTTTACAGAAACTGAAGATCTATATGTCTCATAATTTATCTGTCTACGCATGTGTGGGTGTGTATGGGCATTAGAGAAAGAGAGACCTGTAATAATGCATTTGCCTGTATCATAGTGTGTGCACAAATTTCAAACAGATACTTAATCCTTAGAAGTGTTAAAAGCTAAATGCTGTTAACATATTTGTAATACAGTATATAGTGTTTACTAGACCAGATATTATTTTACTGAGGTGCTTGTATTATGTAAAAGGTAAGGTCTTGGATACCCTGCAGAGCTATACACATTTGATGACAATAATATATAGCCCTTTTTATTGGTTACCAGCATGTAATTAAGCTGAACTGTTTTATAATTGTAGAGACAATTATTATTTGTCTGAAATGGACATTTGTCTGAAATGGAGAACATGAGTTGTATTTGTTATATCTGTTTTTCTTACTACTTCCTTCTGTTCTTTTCTATTTAAGGTTGCCTTTGCCTCCTGGAGCTTTCTCAGGTCTTTGGGAAAATGAAGAAACCTTTCAGAAGTTGTATTTCCAAAAATTTCCAGTAAGAATTATTAAATCAATTATTTAAACTTCTGGTAATGCTTCAGAACTGAATGATAATAGATTTAAACTGGGAAACAGTTCATCATAAGTTGTCACAATTTCATTGGAGGTCTTTGATATATGTATATATAAGTAAAACCATTTCAAGACAAATCCTTTTTCACCTGTAATTCAGCTCTTGCGTATGCTGTTGTTTTTTTAAGATCTGAAAGAGAAGTAAACCATAAGCTTCTGAGCCAAAAAGTCATTTCATGTCATTTAATCTAAGATATAAACCTGCAACCTTACACTAGCACAGCTTCAGATACACTCCTCCTGCTGGCATGCAGCCACGCTAACTTCATATCACTCCAAAATAACACTTGTCCACTGTACATCTGAGTACACTGGAGACTCTTTGCTGTATTAGTTATGTTTCCTTCTCAGATGAGCTATCCAAGGACTGGCTTACTTCTTTCCTTGTAGAAATAGGTAGATTGGCCCTATACAAATGCCCAAAGGGGAAGATTTGGCTCAATGAAAGTAAATGAGTGAATTGGTCATACAAATTATTTTTAGTGTGCAATTGCATCGTGATGACAGTGTATGTTTGGATACAGCAAACAGGAGGATCTTTAGGAGGAATTTGACAACTGTCATTATATTGCAGTAATTCCATTTTCCTTGTGTAGATCCAGGCAACATCATTCTTCAAGCTGTCAGGCATCAAAGTAAGAAGAGTTGGAAAAAAGTCAGGGTTTATCTATTTTTTTTTCTGTTCTATATTAATAAAGACAACAAAACCTTTCTCTAAAGGGAGCTGTACGGGATAATATTATATAGAAATTGTTACAAATATTACAGAATTAAATCTTTCCAGCACCAAAAGCATTTATAATGTGAAACAGGTCTTTTTTTTTTTTATTTTTGTGTTTCCTGGTAAATTAATGAATATTCCTAGTAGTCTTTCTGAATTTATTTTTCATTGTGTTGTATTTAGGGATATTATGATACTATGGATGCTGGTTATATGGATGAAACTGGCTATCTGTATGTCCTGTCTCGAGCTGATGATGTGATCAATGTTGCTGGACACAGAATTTCTGCTGGTGCGATTGAAGAGGTGAGCATTGCCTGACAGCAAAATAGAAGAGTGAGAGATGAATGCAGGAAGCTGAGACTAAAAATCCCACATTTCATCACATCTCAAAGTCTCACACAGAAAGATCTCTCATTTGTTTTCTACTTGTTTTGTTTGCATTTCCATTGGTACTTTTAACCAAAGTATTTCCTGTTTCAGGTTCTTCCTATTAAGATGCTTCCCAGAAAAAAAAAAACAAATTTAGTCAATAATAAGCAGGGTCAATAAATACCGTGGGATTGGTAAGGCAGGCATAATTTGGTATTTGATGGTGGAGATAAGGAGCAGTGTGGTAGGGTGGTATGTGGTAAAGCATACCTTTTAGCTCAAATAATGTATTATTTTGGGAATACAGGAGGATAGTGTAGTATCAGTGTGACAGGTAGTTTCACCAACTACTGTAGTTACTTAGGAGTAGAAACTTTTTTCCTAAAATGCAATGATCAGTGTTGGATGATTTTTTTTTTTCAGAGATTAATATTCAGTGCTTGTTCTTGGTTGGAAGACTTCAGAGTTTTTTGACAGCTGTTTTGTCTCTTATTGTATGAGCAATGCTAAATGAACAATGAAAATTTCAGTAAAAAACCCTGCTGTTAAATTGAAAGTCATTAATGTAATACCCATGCAACTCAAAAAAGTTGAAAATAATGAAGTTCATAATAGTGTCTGAATTTCTTATGATTGTTCTCACCATTCTGGAGTCGCTGTGATTGATTGCTAGTTACAAATTTCCCTGATGACATATCAATTGCTTATTCAGGGAGTATAGGGAAAGGTGTGCTGGGCGTGTACAAGAGAAAAATATGCATTTAAGAACTCTGAATTAAAAAATAATCTGCAAGTTGTTTTTTGGTTTTTAATATCTGTTAGTCTAGTGACTACTTTATTTTGAAGACTAGAAAACTTAGAATGGTAGAAATTCAAATTACACAGAAGTGAACAAGTTCACATAAACATTAATCCATCAAGGACTGATCAGCCAGGGAGCTGAAACAGCTGCTGCCCTGACTGAGGTTTTTGGAGATATAATGATGCTTTCAGTCTGCTTAAACCTCTTTCCCTTAGAAGTAGTTTTTTGCTCCCTTACTGAAGCACAGCAGGAATCTCATCCCCACCCCTTACTGCTGTACTACTCATTGGCCGAGCGGGGCATTTTCTTTGCTTCAGCCTGGGTCTGAAGCTGCTGTAAGAAATGATGAATTGAATCACTTCACCTGCTGTATTACCTTTGGATCCATTACACTGAGCTCAGCATCTCTGTTTTTCTCCCTGCTAGTTAGGTTTTACCCCTAGAAACTTAATGTTTCATGACACTAACATTTTAGAAGCTTTTCCCTCCACCTTTTGAACAAAGCTAAAAACCAAGAGTGATGTTGCACATTACATGCAAATGCATGTACAGCAAATTGCTAGTTAAAGGGGAAAGTGTTAAGAAGACCACAATTCCCTCCTCAGTAGGATCAGTAAATACAGAATTAGAGGTCCATTGAATCACCATGTAATTGACAATCACCTTGTTGAGCAAGTATGTTATCTACATTTACATTTTAGCTGCATTACAAGTTTAACTAGTTTTTCCTTAGTGCTTTGACTAAGTGTTTTATCTCTGTTATGTTCCACACAAGTTTTTTCTTTGTCTAATGTATCTGTTAATGCTATTGGAGCTCCATGTTTACTGCAGTGCAGTAGATGTTAGTTTACCTGGCCAATTGTGAATGGTGTCCATTATGGGAACCTCATCTTGCATGTTGATCCATCCCTCTTCTTTGGTCTGTAAATCTCTGGTATCCCTTCTTGACCCTTCCTGAAAAATTAAAAAAAGCTTAATCAAATCTAGTCTGAGGCAACAGACTTGAGAACTAAGGAATTCATCATGAGAAATCCCTTACCCCTGATCACAATGGTTCTGTCTGCCATAGCTTTTGCCATCCATCCTTGTGCCCAGTGATCATACTGGGAAAACCATTTCCACTTCCTGAAGTTTTTTATTACTTTTAATCAATTTTTAAATGTCTAGTGCTGTTTCTGTTCTTCTTTTCAGTTGTTTTATGAAGTTTGATAATTTTAAAATTGGCATTTACTAATTACTGGTTTCAGTAATTTGAAGTTAGCATTTGAAAAGTCAGAGGCATGTTGACAGAACTTTGGATAGACTGTAGAAAAATACTATAATAGCTACACTATTCCAGCTAACCGTAATACTTATGAATGACAGACTAGAAGTACAAAAACAAGGTACAACAAAACAATCTGGCAACGTTCAGGTCTCCACCTTAGATAGTCCTGTTGATGCCTGGTAGGTAATTATGATATTTGATGGTAATGACAGTTTAGTGTAAATCTTTTTTCTGTGTTCCTGTGGAAAACAGTATTTACTGATTTACTGTGGTTATAGGCTTAATAGTCTACTTTTCCATAATTTATTGTCTTTTTCTTTCCTGTTTTTTTTGTTTTTTTTTTTTTTTTTAATATATATATAAGCCTATCAGGTTTCTGTGGCCACTGTCAAGAGTTAGAGCAGGAAAAAATGGTTTTTTATAGCAGGAAATGGAATTACTGAGGCTCTGGCCTGTAAGTGACCAAAGTACATTAAGTGTATGTGATGCATTGAAACTCTATAGGGATTTGAACTTGCATAAGATTAATCCCTATATGATTTGTCAGTGTGGGTACAATGACTTTTGGACACCTGAATTCAAATGCATTTGTGTATATTCAGCTTTTGAAGCAGGCTCTTCTGCCCTTCTGATTCTGGTATAAGCCCAGTGCGCTCTTCTGTATTTAGTTTGTGCACATCATATTTAATTCCTGTGAAAAATAATCCAGTTTCAAAAGCTGTGCATAAATGGTCATGCTTCTGTAGTTCGATAGAGCATGCATCTACTGTCAGGTCAGTGTTTTCCATTTGCCTTTTTTCTGGCATGGGGCATGTCTAGGATCATAGTTTGTGAAATGAGTATAGCTTCTGACAAAGTGTGCCAGAAACACATTGAGTGGATATATTTTGCTAAAAGCTGCTTGGTGTGTGCTGTATTGACCATAACACATGGAGTCAGTTTCTCCTTCCTGTTTTGACTATAAAGCCTAAGGATGGTGAAATCTGTTTTGAAGATGAGTTATCATACACCCTATGAATTATTCCTTTCCCCATCAGTTTCATTAACAGGTCATACAAGAAGCTCCCTTTTTAAACTGGGGCAACAGTGTTTCAGCTTTCCATTCTTTCAGTTTTTTTCTTCCTGTCTTCTCTGTACTTTTCCTGTCTTTCACATTCTTGCACCATTGTATGAGTAGCCAATGCAAATATGGTATTCCTACTTAATAAAAACAACCAAAAAGTGTCTATATTCCTAAAACCTTTGATTTTGGCAACACAGTATGTGAAGTTCAGTTATTAGCAAGCAGATAGTCCTTGTATGCACAGATAAATTAAAAAGCACAATCACATTATGTGGCTTCTGTGTAGGGTCACATTAGGTCCTCCTTGTGGTCGAGTCCAGAGGACTGAAAAGTGCTGAAAGCACTGTTGACAGCAAAACACCCCAAGGTGAGGGGGTAAAGCAAAAAGAGCCAGTTTCTTTGGAAGAGGATTCACAACTGCTGGCATCTTAAGGCCAGCTTTGTCCCAGACTTGGTGACATACATCTTGGTATGTACTGAGACATCTTGGTGGCTGTTTTCCTGGAAGTGAGTACCTCAACTGGCTAATTGAAAGCTTATATTTTTTTACCTAAAAAAGAGTTTGATATATTTTATCAATGTGATGTTGTGTAAACATGTAGTAGGAAGGAAGGAAGCTCTGGTTTAATTCCCTTTTTTGTCTCAGGAAGCTGAGATCTAATGTTTTCAAGAGAGTGAGCTAAGCTAGGCTGGCTGCAAGCCAAGGCTGGGCATGTATTTGGCCTTGGTTGAAACTATGCTTTTACAGGAACAAAGAATGAAAAAAAAAAAAGAGTCAGAGAAAATTAACCAATAGACTTTGTAAGTCTGTAGTAGGAGTGCTACTGTGGTTTTCATCCTTACTCCCTGAATTTAAGTTCCATGTTACTCATAATTTTAGACAAATGTTATTTGTTCCAGCAGAGATCTCACTAACAAAACCTAAGACGCGATACTCTCACAAAGCTGTAAGGAAATTACCTCAGGTTTGTTCAGTATTTCTATTTTGTGCTGCTAAAGTTTTTATTTCTTCTGTTTGTTTGAAAAGCATGCGTGAGTATATTCAATAATAAATATACACATGTAATTGGAATCCTAAGGTGTACTGACCTTTTGCTGTCAAAATGTAAGAAAAAGTCTATGTTATTTCTTCATACTATATCATTATTTTCACTGAAATGTTGTCTATTATTGGTTCAGTTTTGTTTTCTTTTCCATCCCTCAGTGTATTCTCTTCCATCCTGCTGTGGCGGACTGTGCTGTTGTGGGCCAGGAGGATCCTTTAAAAGGACATGTTCCATTTGCACTGTGTGTACTGAAACAAGGTGAGAACTCACTGATAACTGATGTCATTAACACTTGCAAAAGTCTCAGAAAAGGTAAAGGATTTTACCTTCTTCACTAGGTGTAAAGACAGAAGAGAGTAAGATTTTGAAAGAGATTGTTGAGCGAGTTCGGACCAACATTGGTCCAGTAGCAGCTTTCCAGAAGGGGATGTTTGTGACACAGCTGCCAAAAACACGCTCTGGCAAGATCCCACGTTCTGCTCTTTCTGCACTTGTCAGTGGAAAGCCATACAAGGTAAGTTAGAGATGTTTGCTTCAATGAATTAGACACACATGCACACCCAAAGCACAACATGGTGGTTTTGATTCTCTTGAATGTTCTGCAACTGGTCCATGACTTTAGGTAGTACTTTGTTTTATTTCTATTGCAGATTATGCAAAAGATTTTCATGTTTCAGAGCTTTACAGATGCTTTTTTCTTGATTGCTTTCGAAGTATAGATTTAGAAGAATCTCTGAGTGAAATTCTTATCTACTATTACATGCTACTGTATTCTTACTTTTCAGATAACACCAACCATTGAAGATGCTAGTGTGTTTAAATACATTGAAGAATTGCTAAAGAAAAATTAAATGGGATAATACATAATAACGAGCATTTCATTTGTATTCAAGTATACAAAGAAGCATTTTTTTTGTTAATAGCACATTTTAATAACAAGTAATGATTTGGGACTAAATGTTTTTACTACAGAAACATTACTGTGTTCTTTACCATCTTACCACAGCCACTGACACATAGTGAAGTCTCTACATGCTGTCAATATATTCTGGTTATTAAGATGGCTAAGAATTGCAAATAGAATTAATTCATTGCTGTAGACTTAAAGGGAAGGAGTCATTGGATTATCCATCTTATCTGGTGTCATGTAACCTTACATTTCAATCTGTTATTTTATAATGTGACCAGTAACTTTTGTTTGCCTAAAGCAGTTAACAAAGGGTAAACCATGAACAAACAAAAGTAAAAAAGGAATTTGATTGTGAAAATTGTTGCAGACATAAATTGTTCTTACTTGTAAATTTTAAGTTCTTGTCTTTTTGATTTTATCTAAAATTAAAAATTTTAAGATTAGTTCTTTTGATTTAATTTTCTTTTTTTTTTCCAAAGTCTTTCTGCCATAAATTAAATTTCTATACATTTTTTACTCAATAACTTTCTGAAGAGTCTTTTTTGTAAAATGATAAGTAATTCCTGGCTTTCAAATCTTGATTTGTCCACAGTGAAAATCCTGATTGGTCCACAGTAATATTCAGAAAACCCCATGTATATTAAATAAAGGCAGGCATTTATCCTTTGCATTTTCTGGTAATTTTTTTTGTAGTTTTTATCTCTTATGATGAAGACCACCAGAATGTGCTTTTGCTGCCATAATTAAGCATTTTAGGCTGAGATAGACATAACCAAGAAATTTAGCAAATATGGATACTAAGCAGCTCATTCTGGACTTTATAGGCCATTCCAGACAGGTACAGGGTTCTCAACAGGCCAGGGGATGGAGGATACACTTTTGACATACATTACTTCTCAAACTGCAGGTATTTAATTGAACAATAAATGTGAAGGTCCTTATAAGAGTAGATGCTTTTATATATAGAAGCATCTTATATATATAGATCTTATATATATAGATATGTGGAAAGTATAAAAGCAGAGAAGTTGCTTAAACTCAGCAGTGCTTACCTGAGAAAAAATCAGTAAGTAAAAAAACCTGAGAAAAAATCAGTCACATGATGTCGTTGTGTAAGAGAGGTCCCCAAAAGGTTCCAGAAATACTGTTATGTAGTGGAGGATAGAGGTATGGATGATATCCCTGTAAAGTGATGAAATAAACCAAGAGATTGATGTAGGAGCCAAAAGGTAATAGGTTCCACTTAACATGAGCCATACCCTGGTGGTGCCTTGTGCTTGTGACCCTTTTTTGGTGTTGGTGAGCTCTACCATTTACATAAGAACTGAATAAAATGTCCATGTGTTTTTCACTAGGGACTGCAGACAGCTGGGCCAGTCATGTTGAACCAGGTCATACAGTCTTGTTAGAACAGCCCAGTTTGAGCCTGTGCTGTCCTTGTTTCCTGCCAATCATTGCATAAGATACCCTCCTCCCTCTCAGCTATTCTCTTCCGTTGAAAATCACAATCTGAACAGGGAATAAAACATGCAAACACTGAATAAAGGCTAATGATGCTTTATGGTAGATATGCTACATATACAGGTTGGAGATTTAAAACTGGGAATAATTTTGCTCTTCAGAGATGTCCTTAAAGTTTTGTGAAGTAATTCTTATAGAAGTGGCAGTTAGTTTAAGATATTATTTTCTTCTGGACTAATTACTCAAATACAAAGGCTTTAACAGGAGGCCGATGGATATACTGGACTGGACTTGCAGAGACTTTTTGCTTTTTCACAATGCTACAACTTAGCAACCTGTACTGAAGAGTTACAGAGCGAGAGGGAATTCTTGAGAGTTGTCAGTGGTGTATTGTTTTTTTAAATCAGTGAGACACTATAAGAGTCATCACAGAGAAACTGTGGCACATTCACAAGGTGTGTGGCCACTACTTTTACAATTGAAGGTGAGACATTGTTGTGTATGTTTGTTATCCTTACCTCAGCTGCAGCCATCATATAATTGCAAGAACAGGGGAGGGGAACTAATTAGTGAGAGCAGAAAATCTCTACAAGAGATCTTGCAATGCATGTAGGGGAAGAGAATTAATTTTCTAGATCTTGCATAATTTTCCCAATGATTACTCATGCTCCTACACCAGTTTCTCCTTTTGTAAGGAAAAGTAAACTGATTTCTAGTTTGGGTCTCTTCTTTTAAGGAGGTGAAAAAAACCCACAAAATCCCCAACAGCATTAGTAATATTCAGGCATGCACTTACCTTTCTGAAGGGCTGTGTGCTTACATTAATATTAGTAAGAAACAATTATCTTTCCTCAGAATTCTTCATAAAGAGCTTCGATAGGTAACATTCTTAAGGTGTCTGCATGACAAAAATATTTGTAAAAATTTCTGTTTTCTGAGGAAGCCTATTTTCTTTCTCTCTATTTTGGTAGAAGTGATTTCAGATCAAAACTTGTATTTTAAAAGAGGACAGAGCATTCAGGTGTGCTCACTATACTGCCATGCTGGTAATGTGGAGAATTCCAGAAATGTCAAATGTCTCATACATCAATATTCAGAAAACCTAGACAAAGAAAGGCACCTTATTGCAGCGATACAGTATGGAGAAATCATTGTTTAATGGCCATTACTTTTGTTTTCCAAAAGAGCTTTTTGCTGAGGAGCTGCAATTGCAGAATGCTTTGTCTTAGCCCAGCTCAAGAAAGGGAGAAGTAGTTACCCTTATACCTGGTTCTGCTGCTGCCCAGCAACCTGGGTAAACCATCAAGAACAAGAAGCCTATTTAACGAGTGGTAGGACAGCAGTGATTTTCCAAATTTTGTTTTCAGAGAGAAGCAGCAAGAGGGTAGATTTGAAGGGTCACTGAGTTGCTGAGTTTTGGCTGAAAGAGGCACATGTAGTAGTTACTCTCAGTGTACTGAAAGGGTTGGAGCCAAGTAGGCAACAGTTAGCATAACTGCTGTTTCTGGCTGTAGAGGGTAGAGCTTCAGCTTGTGTGAGGGAGACAGTGATGAATTAGGAGGCTTGATGTGTTATCCTAAATCAAAACTGAAGTCACAATAATACTATTTTAAATTCTTCTAGTCTGTTTTCTTCCACTGTGAAATATATAATTTCTGGGATAGACAACTTCCACTCTGGTCATAAAATCTGGTTCATTCTTTTCCCCAACACATTTCATTCCCCTTTGCCGCCTAAGTTTTAGTGTTGGCTGCAAAAGGAATTTTGTAAAACAAGAGCTGGTGTTTGAGGTAATGTGAATTTACATGATATTGCTGCCACTGATAGTGACAGTGGCAGTGTTTGCATTGCTTTAATTTGTGATATTCTGCCCTAAAATAATCCAGAAGGAGGCTGAGGGAGGAGAAGAATGTTGGTCAAGCCCAAGGAACTGTGTGTACAAGAGCCCCAAATTTCTACAGTTGTGTGCTATACCCCTGCCAGCACTTCGCACCCATCAGCAAGATCTGTGCTCCCTCTCGTGGCAGATTCTCATCCTAACTCATCCCTATTAGTGCCAAAATGTTCTTGTTTAGCTGTGAGAAGCATCTAGTTTCCAAACTTAATGCTACTACATACCAAATGCAACAGACTAATGAACACAAATAGCACTGAATTCTCTTTTTTATTGACATTGGGGGAGAAAAATCTTTCACCATCTGATTGACCGAAGTTTGCCAAATAAAAATAGACAAAACAAATGTTAATGTACGTGCAAACATTGCAGATCAAACTGCTAAAAGAAATAACTAAAAGACAGGTCTTGAGCTAAGATCAAGCAGCTGAAAAATAGCAAATAGGTAAATGACTATTAAGTAGGTCTTACTTTGAAACTTCCCATTTAAACAAAGAATAAACAACAATAACACCACCAAATAAAGCCACAGCAGGTAATAGTTGCTCTTCTAAACTTTTATACACTATATATTAATCACTCTGTCTTTCAGTTATTTCCTCTGATAAAACTGACTTTTGTGAAGTCTCAGCAAGGCCATCTTGGCTAAAAGCATAACATTAGACAGGAATCTGTCTAATGCCCTGTTAGAATGAAGAAATGGTGGGGGTTGGCTTCTTTTTTCTTTCTTTTTCTTTGCTGAATATATCTGGAAAGAAGAATCTGACTCTATGCAAATACTAGATTTACTTTTCCAATACTGGCTGGTGTTTGAAGATCCTGGAGCAAAAAGGTGGCTCTTGGTAAAGCAAGATTCTTCTTGGTCCGCAGGTAATGTAGAAGAAAGTTTTTGGTTTTTTTGTACAAATCATGTTTTATTAAATTGCTTTTTATTTTTTTATAAATAGTTCTTCTGGATTTATGTGTTTGTTTTTAAGAGGTGAGCCATCATGGTGCTTCTCTGTAGGTATCTAACATTTCCATTTTGTCTTTAGAGGTCCATTTTGGCTTCAGTTCCAGGTTATGTCATTCTATTATACATCATCAGAGGCAGGTGTTCAGCTTTAAATATTGACAGATTTTTCTCAGTAGGAACATGTTGAAGCTTCTAACTCTGCTAAACATATTAATTTGACTGTTACAATCCAAAAACTGTAAAAATGGTGGAATGGAAAGATACAAACAGTATTATTGACACTGTATTGTCAAATGTTTGCACTGAGACCCCATGTACCATAGATTTCATTTTTAAAAAATCATATTTATATCCATTTACATAAGACTTACACATTTTAAAAGAAATACATACACAGTAAATACGTAAATGTCTAATATTTTACAATAAAACAGATGTAACAATGTAAAGATGAGTGGCTTCATTTGATAAAAGCTTTGGATGTGCACTACTGTCAAAGTTTTGATGACAGAGATGCTGAGAGAAAAGGGGGAGATTGTTTTTTCTTTTTTTTGTTTCAGTAATTTAGGTATTTTTCATTCACGTTTTAAACTAATCAATACATGAAAGGAACATCATATCTGTTTGGATGATAAACATTATATGTTCTCTTCCTTATTAACCTGTTCTTGTAGAGAGTTTTCATGTTCTTTTCCTAAGTAGTGGTAGTGCACTTCAGGTAAAGTAGAAGAAAGAGATGGCATCTAAGAAAAAAAAAACAAATATTAATTAGCAAGATTTTATGATTCTATTTCAGTCCAAAGTTCAATGACAACAGAAAATATATCATAAGTAGTTTAGTAAGTAAGTTACTAAAATATGGATTTCAAGTATGTGTGGGAGACATGCGTTTGTTTAATTTTAGATCTGCAACATAAAATTACTAATAATTAATTTTAATCTTTTACTAATTGTCCTCAGTCAACACAGACTGCTGCTTATGTTCATTTTACAGTTGTTTTCCTGCTGTTTTCGTGCAGCACTGGGGTTAGTTTCCTGCATCTGGAGACCTTTGCCTGTTTGGCACAATGTGAAGCACATTTTCAGCGTACAGACATTGCTGATGTCCTTTGTGGCTCTTCTTCCTAGTTCACTGCAGCGTGACAGCATTTACCTTTATCATCCTGATGGTTTCTTTGCTATGGACTAGCTGCTTCCAGTTATCATTTACATATTTTTGGAAAGCTGCTTCTCCATTTGTCTTTACAAATCCTTTTTTCGGACCCTTCATTGGTGAAGTACATAATTGATTTTGCCAAGTCTCCTTTAGTATTTCATTAGAATAAAAGTGGAAGTAGTATGTTCTTTTGTTCCAGCCTATGGCAAGAAATCTCTCCTGAATGACCCTACTGACTTGGCAATGACAAGTGTTTTAGAAGTTAAAAGTGTTGGGAAAGCTTGGATAATGAGAGTGCCAAGTCCACTGCCTGTGTAAAGAGATTGCAGCTGCTCAGCCGGGCCACCACATCTAGCACCACAGCAGAAAGCTTGATGGGTCCCATGTGCTCTGTAGTACATTTCTTTGTAACATGAAATGGCCAGCACCAGCAGCCTTAATTGTTCTCAAATTTCTGATACCAAGTGCACTAAAACAGGCCTGTGCAGAGTAAGCTCATATAACTGTTCTGAGAATGTCTGCACATGGTTTCTGGCAGCTCATTATGGTTTCAACAAATATTCAAAAAAACCCCACCTGAAATGCAGTTTGAAAGCATGTGAACAGGGCACAGCTGCTGTGAACATACACTATACAGACACTGGAAAGTTGTACCAAACTGATGTTGGCATAAACTGTGTGGACAAGGCTTTAACAGTCTCTGTAAGAGAATGTTTCTTACTCTCGTAAGAGTAGCAGAATGCAAGAATCTGCAGCCTGCTGTAATCACAGGCCATCTGCATTTGTTCCATGTGCACCCTGTTTGCTGCTTTCTTTTAGGCCTGCTTTTTCTAGGCATGTTCTCCTTTACTACATGGAAAACTCCCTTATCTCGCTATTGTGTGGTAACTCATCCAGCTATCCCTCCCCTCTGCTGCTTAGTTCCTGCTTCTGTTCATGCAGACAATTCACCAGAGATAATACAGCAGATAATACACCTGCTGATGTAGTCTAGGCGAGGTGTTACAAAAGCCTGGGTCTCTAAGATGGATCTGGAAAATTTCAGGAGCTATGTTGTAATGAATAATCTTCCCTTTTGTCCAACTATCAATCAGCTCCTTCCATGAAGAAACTGTTAGTCGGGAACTGTGCTGACAAAATTCTGAAAACTCCTTTGTTGCCCTTCAATCTGATATCTCCCTCTATGGGCAGTTTCCGTTTATTGTAAATATGTTTCTGTCATTCTTGACCTGCAGGCAATTTGTTTAAATTTTCAAGTTTGATATGATAGTGAAGGAAATATTTTCCCTGCATGGTTGTTTTTTGTGGGGAGGTAGAGGGGTGGGATGTTGGTTTGATTTTCAATATAATGTACTGGGATCAAAATTACTTGAACTGCTTTTTGGTTTATTACCTGCATAGCATTTTGAAGTTGCCTTTATAGTAAGTGCATATAAAAAAGTTCTAGTTCACGTCATCTTGTTCCTTCTCTAAAAGGAGTACATGGTTAAATGAGAAGAGAAATACTAGTATATTATTGTCAGTTAACCTAATGTATTAGACTTTACATGTAGATGTAAATTTGCATGTAGATGCAAATTTGATGTCCTTATAGACCACTCAAACATTTAAGTAGTAGAATAGTGGACAAGCAGCAAGTACTGATGTGATACATACTTGAAACACTACTAATACCCCAATAGAAATTGAAGTTAACTTGTATAGCTTGTATAACTTTATATACACACCTTTTTGCTCAAAATACATACCTTCCATATATTATAGTGCTAGAAAAGTCTGCTACTTTACTTTTGTTTGTGCTTTGCTTCTTTTTAGATATTTTTAATATAGTGGGAGTAAATGGTTTGGATAATCATAAATTAATTTTTATTAGTGCGTCAGTTTCCCATTTCTGCTTTTATTGCACTCTTCAAACTTCACCTCAAGTGCCTGGTCCATTACCATTGGCCTAAGAGAACTTCTTGGTCATCCTTAATTGCTTCCAACATTGTGATTCTGAAGCTCATAGGAGAAAAGGTTCATATCTCTGCCTTCCATTTCTGTCACCACTGAACCCTGTGAGAGTCTTGTCACTGACTTACTGATGCAATACCATGCTTCAATGTATACATGCATACACATAAAAACATTTCTATAGTTTATGTGCTTCATCATCATCTTTGTAGATTCAGCTACTAAACTTTGCTTTTTCAGAAAAACAAAACCAACAAATAATCACACCCTGCCTGCAAGTTTATTCTTCAGGAGTGGCTCAGAAGGTCCCATTTTTACTAAGAGGAAGATTGTATATCTTGCAATCTTTCGAAGTAAGGCTTATGTCATCAGGAGGATCCTGAGCAATCCACTTTTCCCACTGTTAATGCTTGCTATTGATAAGTATTTTTTGAACTTACACAAAGTTAGTAAAATCTTGACAACCCCAAGTCTGTCCCAGTCTTGGGAATCAAAACAAAAAAAACAGCAACTTGCTTGCAGATCCTTGCATGTCTTGCCTACAATATCCAACAGCTACTGAAGCATATTTGATGTCTGATGAGGTTTTGGTGATACTCAAATATTTTTTTCCAGCTGCCTTGCAATTCCCCAAGTAACTAAATGGAAATTGTTTTAGTGAGAATATACTAGCATAAAATGGTGCCATATTGATGTAACTACTTATCATGTGTGTATTTTTTCCAAAAGCTGGGATAAAATAGAAACCTGTATTTCCACAGAACTGTGGAAAAGTGACTCTGTGATATTTATAACCCCACTCAAAAGATATATGGTGAAAAACTTAACATAAATTCCACTACTAAATTTGATCGAAAGTTGCATCCAGCTCAGATAATCCTTTCTTTGTCAGTTCTGAATGATTTGAGAAATGCAGGAATCTCTGTAACAGATAAATTTTCAAGATTTTCTGTATGAGTAAGTCTGTGCAGCTACCTGATGTTCTAAATTGAGCCACAACTTTAATTAAAAAAAAAAAAGTAAATCTCTTCTGCTTTAGTAGTGTTGCCCCCACATTCCAGCTCCTAGTAGAACTCTTCCAAGTTCTCATAAAGTAAGTTCATTCCCTCTGCCTTTTTCCCAAAATATGGTTGGTAGTATCCTGTGGACTGAGCTTAAGTCTGTTATGACCAAATGACGGCCCTAGGGAGTCCTTAGTTACGTCCTCTGCTCCATGTTGGTTTGTGCTTGGATAATGTGGGGTGTAGTGCAGTCATAAAGAGCTTTCATGATGGCCCCTACAGAATACTCACAACAATTCAGTGCTGGCTTCTTTGCTAGGCCTTGTCAGCATGAGTATGTGCGAACTGTTGAGCTGTCTAACCTCTGCAGTCGTGATGAAGCAACTGCAAATTGGGAAGGAAAAAAAAAAGGAAACAAACCAGAGCCTCTTTAGAATCATCAGTAAAATATATCAATCTGTTTATCACTGGAAGGGTGGCTGTTAAATTGCTCTGTGGATTTCTCTAACATGATCTGAGCATGATCTGGTTCAAAACTCAGCACTTCTTCATGGCTGATGTACTGCTGGAATCTGTCTAAAGGGAATACAGTTTAAAACTCAATTTTGTCTTTATTTTGTTGTAATTCCTAATGCAGTTACCTATCATGCTGTTTAAATACTATTGCATTGTTACTGCTGAGAGATAGGAAGCCAAATCCTGGATGAAGATACAGGTCTTCAAAATTACTTCCCTTTAAGTCTACTGAGTTCAGTATACATGGCTCAAGAATTAACTGTCTGGAAGACCTAAAGTAAATCACTAAATCTGCCTTTTGCAGATTGCCTTTTGCAGATTTGCCTTTTTGTTCCACATCTGTAAAATGCAGAATATCATCTTCTACATCATACCATGACTAGAAGATGAAATCCCTTAATGTTTATAGGGTTCTTGTATATTACAGTAATGTGGGCAATGGAAATGCCATGGAAGATAGGAGTCAATGGCATTCAGTGATGCTACCAGTAAATTATTCCATGTGTAACTGCAACCATAAAGCACTGTTTTTAAGGGTGAGAAACTCTAATGGAATTTAGATGGCTTTAATGGAATTTAGGTGGCAATACTATCATACCAAGTTCAGTATCAAGTTACAGGATGTGATCTCTA